AAAGGAAGGACGTATTTGTAGGCCGCATYGGAGGAGTCTTCGGTTTTGGACGTCCTTCATCGCGGGGCTGTGACGTATGCGGCCGACAAATTCGGCCTTCGGAGGACCCGGCCTGTCGTTTTGGACACAGCCAATGCATCAAGTCCAGACCCTTGTACGAAGGACAAGGGTCTGGTTTGAACCAGGCTATGATTAAGCTAACAGCCAGTGTGGTTGCCTACATTCTTTTTTTTTTCAGCCCATGGACATGGAGAAAACTCAGTGTATGCTCAGGCAGCAAAGTCTCATGGGACTTTCCATAATTTAAAATTTGAGTATATGTGGTGTGCAAATCTAGATGTGGGCTTTAATCTAATCTAAATGTCTCTTGTAGTTACTTGTATTTTATATTTAATCTTAACATAATTACAATCTAGTAACAACAACTGCTGGTGGGCCAAATCAAATGGCTTGGCGGGCCAATTTTGGCCTGCGRACCCCACTGATCASCTCTGATCTAGAGACAGTTTGGAGACGTCTACAGCAAATTCAGATGGGTTTCAGATGAGTTGGAGATGCCCACAACGACTGTGTGGTTWTTTCAAGAGAAATTTTGTCACAAATGTTTCGAACACATTCGAAACTGGAGTGAGTGGGCTTGCATGTCTCTGGGTCACATCCCAAAATGTTTTGAACCCACTAACATCCTGCAGACTCCCTCAGGAATGCTGCTCACTCACAGCCACAATGAGACACCACCTAATGACACCCAGCTCCTTTAAAGCTGCAAAAACATCTTTGTTCTGACAATAACAGTTACTGTCTGATATTCTGACARTGGATGGCATGGCAGTGCTTAGAGCTGTCACCTCTCATGGAGAAGGTGAGGATCACATGCTGGCTTGAGGCCTTTCTGTGTGAAGTTAGCATGTTCCTCCCACAGATCAAAAAAYATGAATGTAGATAAACTGATAACTCTAAATTGTCCCTAGGTGTGAGGGAGAGTGATAATGGTTGTCTGTATTGTTTGTTTCTATATCCTTGTGACCAGGGTCCACCACGCCACTCACACAGATCGACCTGTGACCAGTTAGGGAAAAGTGGGTAAAGAAAATGGATGAATGTTTTGATGGTAGACTGTATTGTATTGGTGCATGTATTGAGTTTTCCCCAGTCTGGAATATTTTGATCTTGT